TCTTATTTCCTTGGAAGATCCCGAAAAGAAGAAGATAACTCATGCTTAGAATCTTGACTACAAAATACAAATCAATTCATTTTAATAAAGGGAACATACATAATTATCATCGATTATTGCGTTGCCGCAATTGTCTCCAATACTAGATTTTATAAAATAGTTATTGAATCAAAAAGCTTATAATAAAATGTACTCTATGGGTCGTTATCATAGTTGCCCTCAAGCCTCAACAATAACTCTCATCACTGACGATGCCTTTAATATTAATTAAATAAATCGTCCTATGGCATATGGGATGACGATAAAAATATTTAAAATTTATTTTATTTTTTATTTAATTCAATTATATACTAATTTTATACACTAACCCCACCTATGACATATTTTACTATTATAGCAAACGCGACCCATTAAGAATGACAATAAATTTCAAAGTTGACATCTAGAGAATTCCAAGTGTCAGAATGATAAAGACTCCAAAATATTAATTGATGTCATAGCAACCTAAAATTGGTAGTAAGAATTTTTAAATTATACAATTTTTGCATGCACTTTTTTTGTAAATTTAATGAGTTGATTAGTTGATGCTTAATAACAAATTATTTTTTACTAATATTATCAATAAAAAATAATTATAATATTTTATTATTTTATGGTGGAATACGTAGATGATTCTTTTAAATTATATACATTAAATGATCAAATAGACATTTTAACTTTATTAATGACTAGATATATACTTGATACTGATATATCTCGTAAATCCATTACGCTGGCATATTTTTCTTTCACCCAAATTTCAGCACGAAACTCTTTTATATTTTATATCTCCTTCAAATTATTATTCACCATTGAAGATTCTTGAAAATTTCAAACTCAAGAAAATTTCCATAATACAATATATATCCAAATAAAAATTGAACCAAATTTGAACCTTAGATCCTAGATAACCCCAAAAAATAAAAAGGTGCAAAATATAAATGAGCAAGGAAGAGCCAATTTGGGAAGAGGATAGGGGTCAGGGGAGGAGCTGTGGAGGCCTACCTCATGAAAGTATAGAAGTTGTTTCTGAAAAACACCTGACTCAATAACATCACTCTCATAATTTTAAAATGTGTATAATTAATGACCAGCTTGTCAACATCGACATGCTTATTAGCGTAACATTGAATAAATTATTCAAACTTTTGCATATTATATATTGTATAAGATTTTCCCAAATAAACTAATAAAAAGTCGAGTAAACTTTACAAAAAGACATGTACTTGCAAAAAGTGGAGATACCATATATATATACACACCACGTTAGCAGACACCATTGAATGGATAGAAAAAGAATTGTCTGCGGAAAAGAAAGTGTAAGTATAACTAAGATTATTTGGCTGACTAATAGTAATAGTATTTTTTTGTCTAATATAAGAGCTACACATGTACGTTATTTTCTTGCTTAAATAATACATTAAAAGGGATCGTTTGGTAATTGTATTAGAGATAAGTTATGCATATATATATATATATATTCTTGCATAAGTAATATTATGATTGGTAGTTATTTAGGAAACAAATTATTTATGTAGAAATTAATATGATGTATTGATTTGCAAACTTAAAACATATATGACTAATACATATATAAATTATGAAGGAATTCATATATACTATTTTATATGGTATAAAAAATAAAATAACTAATAAATAAATAATTAAACCCTATAAAATTAATATTTATATAAAATAATACATAAATTTCTTATCAAATAATTTTTCTATTACTATCTGCCTAAGTCTAACCATCTATCAAACCACCTTAAGAATATACTACTTCCATCACAATTTATGTGACACATTTCAGATTTCGAGATTTAAACAAATCTATCTTTAATCATAAATATTTCATATATCTTTCAAATGTTTTGAATTGTAAATTATTGTTACTTATAGTACTTTTTACGTAGTTTACAAATATATAGATATTTCAAAATAATTATTTGTCAAACTAAAATTACTTGATCACTCTCAAGAAATAAAAAATATAATATAAATTGGTACGGAAAATTAGTAGTATATGATATGCAATGAAGAGCAAGCTAGGTAGAATATTGCATGCAAATCAGTGTTGCTTGCAAGCTTGTAATAATCAAAAGTTGTGATTTGTACTGAAGCCAAGCAAGCCCACCATGTGGCTTCTCCTTTTTCATAGTTTTACAAACCAAGAAAAGTGAAAATAGACACTTGGACACCCACAACTACTAGTACTATCTTATCATATACACATAATTTGTTTGTATTAGTTTAAATAAATTAGAGGAAAATTTGTAATTTTAAAACAGTAAATATATGACCTATCAAAATATTTTTTAATTCTATAATTTTAAATATGTTATAAGATATGTTAAAATTATCAAATTATTAAAAATGTGACATTTTTTTCTTAAATATGCTATCAAAAGAACGGTGAGTTGGACATTCTTCATTAGAAAACTTCATTTGGTTAAATAAATTAAATATCATCTTTTTAATCGCATATTTTATGTGAATAACAACATCTAGAGTATATTATGTAATGCAACTATAGTTTCAATTATTTTTAATTTGTGGCTACAGTTTTACGCATTTTTGCTATTGAATTTTCTAATTGTATAGATCAAGAATTTGTATAATTCTGTCTCTGATTATGTAAATCCAAAATTTATATAATTCGATTCTTGATTGTATGAATCTAGAATTTATATATGCTACCCTAGCTACTTGTATATGATTATGAAAAATTCATGATAAATTACCCTATTTGTATATTGGGTAAGCGAAATAAACAAATGAGTTCCGAAAAATTCCTAAGTGTATAAATATATAATTTGTATGTATGCTTACCCTGTCTATGTATTCGCAAGTGAAATATACAAACCGACAAGCGGAATATACAAATTGTTGCCTTCATTTGTATTTTACCATATTTGTATATTTGCAAACCGTAGCCTCCATAGCAAACAAAACTATAGCTATAAAGTGTAATTATCAAAACTATAACTATAAAACCTTATTATGACTATCACTTTGCTATTTCAAGAAATTTTCTCTATTTTTAATAGCAATTTTTATTTTTTCTGTCGAGGCCGAAGCTGATAGCAAAAAGAAAGTACGTAGTTTGCGAGATTTGCGACCAACCCGAACAGACAAAAAATTGCTACTCCCTATTTTTCAATTTATATTATATGATATTTTTCGGTTTTTTACTTTTTAAAGTTTAATGTATAATCTTTATCAAGTATGTACTTACTCGTGACATATACTTAATTAGCAGATAATCTTGATTAGCTGGCAGATAAATGTCACTTTATGTCATATCAATCTTCTTAAAATCCCATATTAAAGCACATAAATATCACTTTAATTAATTAAATTCATACCGATCTTCTAACTAAAATCCCATACTAAAGCAATTCTACTGGAATATTACTTTAAAAAAAAAAAAAAAAAACTTTCACGCAGATCTAAAAAAAAAATTATATTATTTTTCTAAATGTTCTCTATAAATATAATATAGACAAGGGGGAGAGAGCTATATATATCTCATAAATAGCTTCACTGAACCTGGAAAAAAAGTTATGAGCTTTAGGTACTATGAATACTAATGGAAGAAGGAATCAAAGGTGCATTCAATTCTCCTTAAGAAACTCAACTAATAGAGTGTACAAGTGCAACTTTAGCCCCACCAACTTGGATTGTCGTAGTGTGACTGCTTTATTTTTAATCAGAGTTTGCAAGTTCGAGCTTTGATTATAAAAAAAACCATGTTGAAAGTGCTACGCAATCAGAATTTTAGTCAGTTCTCCAATATAGGTTCCAGACACCGGACGAAAATAAAAATAAAAAATGCAACTTTAGCCCCCACCTCCTACCCCCTATCCCCATCAAAGACATCTATATATCAAGTTGTGAGTTCATATATAGACGAAATCCCCAGCCCCTACCATACAAACCCTACTATATCAACAAAGTAATCCCTACTCTAAAACCGTGATGTATACACAAATTAAGTCTTTATATATTTAGGTCAAAAAAAAAAAGAACTCATCACGTTTTATACAGATAAATAAAAATATCATTAGATATACTACTTATACCCACATCGTCTAAATTTTGTATCAGTTAAAGAAATTTGTAACACCCAAATGTTTTACTTTATGATTCTTGTTTTCTAACCTTCTGCGTTCCCTTAATTTAGAAATAGCTATTGTGAAATTTAAACTTTAGGACATGAAGACTTCTGCCGAGTCAAATATGATGAAATGAAATAGCATAGCGCTCTAGCTAGATGTGAGTCATGGTCTTAGGGGTGGATCCTTTCCTCTATACCAGCTGCACAAGAGCACTCATATGCTCCTTATATATAGATGCACTGTTAATAATATACTAATTTCTATTTTTTTTTAAAGTACGCGAACCTCGACTGATAAAGGTGATCCGCCTCTGTTATCATGAAAATTTTATCTGTGTAATTAAATCATGACAATGATGCGATTACTATTTCTACACGATTATGTCATGCAAGTCTCAATCCGAGTGATAAATACATCAAGAAAATATATTACGCAAAATTAGAAAAGTCAACAACTTAGATTTTTTGGAGGGTTTCATCGATGTTCAATATATTCGAACTAATCTGAATTCACATCGGGTAGCCCATTTACAAATAGTGCTACTTATTAAGAATTTTTGTATATTCATAGTTCAAACTTAAAACATGTAAATAGAAAACGAACAACTTCATCTACCGCAACCCAACCATTTGATGATAACTTAAGAAAATTGAAGGCTAGCTTATGGTAAACCCATAATTATCATCTACTAATTTGTACATATAATATATAGAGAGAGGACGCTACATTGAGAACTTATTCAGCTAGCTAGCTAGGTAGCATAGGGCCATAAAAGTAGTACTCTACTAGTCAAAAGAGAAAAATAAAACTTACAATTATCCATAAGGAAGAAGATAAACATAATATTAACACATGAAAAGTTTTTATTTATTTTTCCTTTTAATTTAACACATGACATCCTTAAGAAGTTTGTACCTACGGGTGGACGTACGAGGTGAAGGTGCACCACCATGATTATTCTTTGGTTTTTGATCATGAGCCGTTGATTCTTCTCTGTGATCATGGTTTTGCTGTTTGATTTTGTCGCCACCTGGATATTCTGATCTGCTGCTACTCATCATGATGCCTTCAGCTGATGATTTCCTAGAAGAACTTCCACGCCTTGAACTGCTGTTTCTTTCTTCACTTTGACACCAGTCACACACCTCTATTCCCTCTGACAATTCACTATAGTAGTTGCTACAATACCTGTAAAACTCCGATACGAATCCAAAATTTAAATTTTATGAGTTCAAAATACTCCATCTTTTACTTGTTACAATTCAAGTTATATATGCATGACTAATTAACTCCTAATAATCATGATCATACAAAACAATAATAATGTTTGATCAGGATCGGCGGTATGAATTCGCAGACTCAAACCGTTGATTGATCAAAAGACCCTTTGTTTTACTCAATTTAAGTTTGCGTCGTACTATATTTATATTAACACATAAAACATAAAAAGTAGTACTTGTGTATCTTTTCTAGTGATAGGTAAATTTCTGACATGACTAAACGATTCATAGAAAAGTTAGAAACATATATTATATGACCTAATTACATAAATTAATAATAATAAATCGTTAATTATTACTTAAAATTAATTAATCTGTAGAAGATCATGGGAAATAATTAGTAAAAAATTGTTGGTAGGATGTTTGTTCCCTCTGATAGTGTATGGTGGCGGTGGGTGGACGAGTGTCATGTTTGGTTTGCCACAAACAAGAAAGTTTAAAAAAAATGATAGATGGAGTAATAATACGGACAGAAAATCAGTCAAAATGACTCTAATGAAAAGCCTGACTGACCCAACACTAACCCAAACTGTGGTTACAAGAAAAATAAATTATATGATTGGTGAATTGATCATCAATTGTGAAAAAGGTCTTCATTGACATGAATGTGTATACAGATTTCAACGAAATTCAATAGCTTTGATGCAAATTTAAAAGAAATTATGATTCAGAACTCGTAAACTAAAAATTGTGAGAATTACTTACGAGTGTTGGTAACGGTGGTAGCACTTGGAGCAGCGGAAGAGTTTTTCCGGGAAGCCAACGTCGCCGCACATGGAGCATACTTTCTGAAGATCCACCATTTTTTTAAATTATTTTTTGTTTGTTTGAAGGCAAAAAGGAAGATGTAGAGAAAGAGAGAAGCAAATGCCTAAAACAACCAAAATAAAAGCACTTTTTGAGTCGGTGTTTGCGCGTCATATCTCATTTATATAGAGGGACACTCTTGGTTTTTTATATATTATATAGTGGAGCTAGTCTCGATATAATTCAATAGTTTTGATCAATATAATAACTTTTTAAAGATTTAATAGGTTATATTTTATAATATTAAATTTTTATAGATTATATATAATTTTTATTATTTGATTAATTAGATATATGTTAATTAATGTGAGAGGGATATATATATACAGGTAGACCACAGGTTGCTTGCAGTCGTTTTCAGTTAAAGGGATAGATGGTGTGAACCTTAAAACACTCTGAGCTAAAATTACCTATATGCCCTGTGCTTGATATAAGGGTGTGTTTGGTTTTAAAAAAAAGTTTTCCTAAAAATTATTTTGTTTGGAAAATAAGGGTTGGGATAATACATTTAACAATATATTTTAATCCAATTTGATATGTTGTATATAGTCATAATAAAGATTTTTTTTTTATTAAATACTTAAAGAACAAATAAAATAATTCAGCTTCGTAAAAATTGAATCAGATTTAGTCTTAACAACTGTAATTTATAACCTAATGACTCAACCCATTTTGACATAAATAAATTTAAATTTGGATTGAATCTTGATTCAATTATTATCTTAATTTATTATAATCCGTCCAAATTTAACTCAGTCCACTTAATTACTGCCCCAAATTTTGAGATATTTCAAACAGCCCTATTGATGCCACAAGGGAATTTCGTGTGTAAGTTCTATTTTCACCTTATTAAGAAAATCATATAATCAAAAGAAAAATGTTGATGAAAGTCTTTAAATATATTATATCAAACAAGAATGTGGAACAAAATAATTACATTTTCTCTTATATGAAACAAAATAATTTCTATCATACTCTCTTTATTTATTTTTATTTGTTTAATATTGCCTTCACATATCTTTTAAGGAGTAATATATTAAATAACAATTTTATTAAATCACCCTTTAATGAATATAATAAATGCAATGTTTTAAAAAATGACTATAGTTAATAATAATGATAATATACTAAGTGGTAAATTATTTTTTAATTTTTAGCATCTATTTTTAATATAATGATAAGTAAAAAAGTAAACATAGGAAGTATTATATATAGTATTAAAATTCTCGTGTGTGTTGTAATGATACATTTTCTTTCTCTCGGCTAAATATTACTCCATCTGTTTCAATTTATTTCTCCGATTTAACTTGGTACAAAATTATTAAAAAGAAAAAAAATATTTTTATGATTTTAAATAAAAATATGTAGAATATATCAAAATGTCTTTTATTTTTATAATCTTAAATATGTCATGTAAAACGTTAAAATTATAAAATTATGCAAATAAAAAAAGATGTGTTTTTAAACTACCTAAAAGTAAAATAAAATAAATAAATTGAAACAAAGAGCGTAGTATACACAATGAGTTACAAGTTGCAACCAATTAGTATTCAGTACGTACATTGTTTCCATGAGAATATACATACAACAAACTGTATAGTCCATTATTTTACTCACTACTGTAGAGAATAGCAGAAGAAAAGTATACTCGGAAAATCTTTTGCTAGCCCAAGATCGTTAACTAAGATCGAAAGATTCAATTAAAGAAGAGGAAGCTAGAAAGGAGAACTTGTTTATGGAAGAAAATTCTTTGATTTGAGTTGCTCTTGATTAGTTACAAATGACTATGGCCACCCCTATTTATACTAGTGTGGGAATGCTTCTAGAAATTATTCTAGATAGATTTACAAGAAAAATCTAGGTGACCTTATCTTCTAACTATCTAACAAGAATCTAGATTATTCTATACTTTACTATAAATATCTAATTATCTAGAACATCTAGATATTTCTTAAGTATAAATATCAAAGATATTTACTCAACCAAATTCTTGAGAGTTCTACTAAATATCTAAGATATTTTTTGTACCTCCAAAAAGTCAACTTTAATTTTTCACACTCCCCCTTAAAGTGATTTTTTGGAAACTACCCCACACTTGTCATGGAGGAGCTCAAACGGAGCTTTGAGCCACATCTTGGTGAAAATCTCGGCAATTTCTTTCGGACTCCTCTTGCTTCTTCAAATGATAAAGATTTTCCGTTATCAAATGATCCACGTAAATTATCTCCTTGTTGATTTCCTGAACTCCCCCTTTCTCTTAGCTTCTCGACAACTATATTATCTAGAAAAACACTATCAATTTCCAGTGAAGTCTCAACATCAACATAGGATCCACTGCCATATTTTTTTTAATCATCTCCTCGATAGATTTTTTGACAGCTTCAGAGCTTTCAAAAATCATATCGTTTGTCTTTGAGACTACAATATCAACTTCTTCCTCTATTTGGTCATCATTTTCTCCATTTGTTTCCAATGTTTGATCTAAGTTAGTTACTGACCTCGATATGACTGACGATTGATTAGAGACTTCAACTTCCCATACATCTTTCTCGATACTTTCTCCATAAAGGTCACAATCGGCATATATAGCTCCACGCACTGCTTGTTCAAAATTTATTTCCTTGATTTCTTCGATAGAAACTATCATGTCACCAATATGAACATCTTCAAGAGTTTCTTGCTTCATTTCGATGACATCAGTGTCTTGCTTCTCCACGTGGTCGACTGCATTATATTCTGAATCTTCGATCCAATCTCTTTCAAGGTTGAGAGAAATCATAGCGTTTATGACTCGAGCCTCAGCTACTAAACACTTTCCCCACTCTTCTTTTTCTTTAGTAACCTTTTGAGCCATATTGCTCTTATTGGCTCGACAATATCTTTTTATGTGTCCTACATTACCACATCGATAACATCTGGGAGGATTCTTACCATAATAGTTAGAAGGCTCTTCCTTCTTTCCAGGTGAGCTTGAACCACTTGAGGATCGAGAGTGTGGCATATCTCTCGTTTTTCCTTTAAAGTTCCTCTTGTTGGCTACAAGAGCATTTTCTTCTCCTTCTTTGACAAATACACTAGCCAACTGCTTAGCTAGTAGTTCCTGTGACGACAATAAATTTTCAAAATCCTTCAAGGATGGCTGTTGAGCCCATCCTTGAATCGACATCACAAATGGAATATATTCAAGTTTCAACCCACGAATGACTATTCTTCTCATTCGTGCTTCAGAAATAGCCTCCTCCGAATTCAATAAACCTATCTCAGAACATAAGTTCTTAATCTTGAAAAAATATTCGGAGATAGAAAGATTACTTTGAGTGGTGTTAGCCAATTCATTCTCCAATTTCTGCAGTCGAGCTTCATTCTTCTTGTTGAACAAGTGATCGAGGGTCCTCCATATTTCATGAGCTAATTTACACTTTATAATGTGATCAAATAAACCAGAGGAGATTGTCCTCTTTAGAATGAACTCTGCCTTCGCATTAATCTACTTCCACTTCTTGTATGCACAACTATTTTCCGGTCCGTCAATAGGAGGACTTGTGTCATTTCCATTAACAACATCCCACAAATCCTCTCCCACAAGGTATGATTTCATACATGTCTTCCATACCTTGTAATTGGACTGATTGAACAACTCCATCTCCAGTCCATTAACACAACCGCTAAAATCCATCTACACAAACTAGTTGAATCTTTCACCAATCCGATCTTGAAATAATACCCCCAAGCCAATCTACGGCTATGGCTCTGATACCATGTAGAGAATAGCAGAAGAAAAGTATACTCGAAAAACCTTCTGCTAACCCAAGATCGTTAACTAAGATCGTTAACTAAGATCGAAAGATTCAATTAAAGAAGAGGAAGCTAGAAAGGAGAACTTGTTTATGGAAGAAGACTCTTTGATTTGAGTTGCTCTTGGATTAGTTACAAATGATTATGGCCACCCCTATTTATACTAGTGTGGGGATGCTTCTAGAAATTATTCTAGATCTTCTAACTAACTAACAAGAATCTAGATTATTCTATACTTTACTATAAATATCTAATTATCTAGAACATCTAGATATTTCTTAAGTATAAATATCAAAGATATTTACTCTATCAAATTCTTGAAAATTCTACTAAATATCTAAGATATTTTTTGTACCTCCAAAAAATCAACTTTAATTTTTCACAAGTACATGTAATAACAGGTGTAATCCTTATCTAGTTCATCAAATAAAAAATAATATCCTATTCTGATTATTATTTATTTATATGAAGGTTTTCTTACCTTGTAGGCTAATAAATCAAATGACTGCCCATACAAGAAAACAATCTCATCATTAGACTTAAAAATATTCTTCCACATAATAATTACAAATATAACGCACCACCCATATAAGCTTATTCTAATGTGTAGTACATTCTCTGCCCAAAATAAAAAGATATATGGGGTATACCTTGATAGGAAATATTCTTTATTAATAAATCTAACGTGATATAAATTAAAATTAATTTGAATTATATATAAAAAGTGAATGGAGTATAACGTTGCACTTAATATTATGCAAGACATTGAGGATCTTGAGCTTCTATCTGTTGAAGAATGTCGATAAAAATGTTATTGATCAAAATAGAAAGAGGCAATTCAATTAGAATTAAACTTACTTGCTCTCATAAAAGAGATTATAACCTGATTTTCAACTCTTTTCTCATTTTTGAAGTTATATTTAAATACAATTAAGTATGAACATTATTTTGAATTATCATTTTTTATAAAATATAATCAAGCATAATACACTACTATATCTTTAATTTCATTTTCAAAAAATTTATTTCTCAAGTACATACTTAGACACTTTGGGAAGAACCTAGCTATACTTTGTAATTGAATTAACACTACGTAGCAGATTATACAGAAAATATTATTGGATTGATTTTAGAGATTTTCCTTAAGATTTTTCTCTATCACACGAAATCTCTTTCATCGTTTATGATATTAAATTACTTTAGTCTTTTGTAATAATTTTTTAATCTATTTATTATCACTACAATAAATTATGACACGGCTATGCTAAAATAGTCTCTTATTTAATTAATAATTTTATAAGAACTTTTTCCAAA